ACAGCTGTCTGTATCAGGAGGAGTGGGAGGCTTAGTTCTGGGGAGATGGGTGTTCGCTTATGATCCGTAACATCCTCTGACCTTCATAACGTCAACAGTATCTCACTGGCCCCGCATCTCAGAGCGAACTAAAACCCTAAAGCTTTAAGTCTGTTTCCCACCACCTGAACAAGAGGAAGCTGTAAATTATACCCATCCTGTCAGATATGAAGCCGAACATAAAACAGTAAAACTGTAATGGAGGTTTTTATTTATATCAGAAAACATTTTGAAAAACATTTTGGCTCTATCTTTTTGCCAAGCGTTATCTGAGATTAATAGTTAAATGTTCCACTTTAATCCCATTATAAGCTGACTTTTTTATATAAAAACTACTACTAGTTAAATGATGCTGTTGGAATCTGTTGATTTTAAGCCAACATTGATTGGCTGTTAGGAAAGTAAAAAAAAAAGAAAAAAAAGAAAAAAAAAAGGACCTGTCTTCTTTAGTCAGTAAATGCACAGCTTTCTACTTCTTGCTAATCTTTTTTTCGTTTTTTTTTTTAAGATGAAATTTTATTTATAGGCTCCAAACCTTTTGTCATCGTTTTAAAAAGGCTGTTTTATGGCCTCTGCTGTCATGCACAACTTGTGACGTTGTTCTGCTTCTAAAAAACATAAATTGGATAAAATTATGTTGATTCTGATCAACAAAAAATTATTTGATCAGTCAAACAAATTAAACAAGTAAAAGTTGTTGCAAGTGTAGCAGCAGAATAGTAATTGGAGCATTGCTTGGTTTGAAAAAAGTTCACTTTTTTTGTTTTTGTTTTGTTTTATAAAAAAATACTTTACAGTCCAGCAGCTAAGATCTTGTGATCTGATTTGTTTTCTTCCTGCAGGCTGTTTGCAGGCAGCATCCCAAGGATAGCCTTCATCAGCGTGGGGGGTTTCATCTTCCTGGGAGCCTATGAAAAAGTCCGCCACACTTTGCTATAGCAGAGCTACAGGAAGCCTGGTCTGCTGAGGAGGTGCAGGAAACGCCTCCCCGGAGGAACCACCTGAGGACACCTACAGGGGGACCCTGGTGTGTGTGTGCTCTTTTGCCCTGAGGACACTACAAGCTTGGTGCCCTGAGGAGTTCAGGCTGACTACATTACCCAGAATGCTGCATTCCTGCACATCAGCAGGCAGTGGATAAAGCAGGATGAACTGCAGCAGTATTTCTGATTGGGGGAAATAAAGCAGAATTCTGCTTTAATGTTTAGTGAATGGATTTAAGAATTAAAGACTCTTTTATTCTTTAAGTGACTTCACTAATTTCCTGTCATCATCCAGACTCCAGTTTAATCTCTTTTTTAATGCTTTATTCATATTTTCTTATCTGCGTTAAGCTCAGCCACCTGTGCATTAGACCCACAAGGGAGGCGCAGCAATATGTCACCATTGTTAGATTCCACCCAGAGCAGAGCTGACCTCATCCGCCCACAGGAGCCGGAGTTTTTTCCTCCTGAGATGCCGCCAACAATAGAGCACTTTGTTTTATTACCAGGGCTGTAGGTTTATCTGGAGGTTACTCACATGGCTTTATTGTGCTGTTTTTCTGTAGGTAAGTGGCAAGTCATTCTGTTTAGCGATGGGTGTGAGCATCAGCATGTGGTATCATTTTCTAAAATATGTACAAAAATAAATCTACTACCTCTGGTGTGAGGTGAATCGGGACAGTCCATTTATTTCCATTTTAAATGTCTTTCACACATTACATCTGGTGGGCATCATTGGATAATTGTTTCCTTTCTTTTCTCCTCACTGAGTCTGCTTAAAGGGGCCTAGTGGGTTTCAATTTAGTACAAAGACAATGCAAAGTGCTCTACATGATTAAAATATAGGAAAATAAAACAGAGGACCACACTGATAACACCTAAAAATCAACCTTCCTTCTGTTGGGAAAAGGTCAATAAGTGGAGGACATTCAAAGTACCTCCCACCATCTGTATGTCTGGCTGACAGCAGGATGAAAGCTGTTATAAAAAAAAAAAACAACTAGTTCCAAACATGGAGGTGGAAATGTCATGGTGTGGGGATGCTTTACTGCAGCAGAAACCTATATACTTAAAACCACCATGGTTCCCACCAGAGAAGCCAACGATCCAACACACACCCCTCCCGGCAGAGTGCTTGATCTAGTGGCGATCCTTTAGGGGAAACTGGAACCTGTCAAACATCTCACAGCTGACAGAGAGGTGTAACCGATGAGACAGGCAGAACTAGTTTAACCCAGGCAGACTGGACGGGTTTAAGGTGATGGCATAGCATGTCAATAAAGTTCAAGTCTTTTGGCTTATTTCTGCTTCCCGGTTGAAATGATTCCTTTGGTAGCCTTAGACAACTTTTATTGCCATTTTCTATACATGGAGTGTAAGCAAAAATAAATTTTGTTTTGTTCAGCTTTCAGACTGTAAATAAGCAGCAGCTTAGTAGTGAAATGAACATTTCCACTTACATTCCACCACTTGCAGCAGTGGTCGAGTGTAAACGGCGTGGGAGAAAAACATGGTGCAAAACGCATTGATATGGAAGCTCAGAGCAGTGGAAAGACAAATATATATATATGGTGCAAAAATGCAGTAGAAAAACATTTTTTGGTTACGTGTTATCAGTGTGGTGCAGAGTCTTGATTTGTGGCATGATTTAGAGTTTTTTTATTTATTTTTTTCCCCCCAACAGTTCAGTTTACTGATGGCAGTGGGGAAGAAGCTGTTGCAGAATTTTGGAGTCCCAAAGCCATTTAAAGATAGATATTCCAGTCCTTTTGTTTCTTTACAGGTCCTTCTGCATGTTGTGCTTTTTTAAAGTCTTTTCTCTGTCTGGGTGCCATGGTTTCCTGACATCCCCTTATCACCGCACTTCTCTTTAAAGGAATAGTAAACCGCGGCAGACCAAACCAGATGAAAGTGCGCATTCAGCGTCTGCTCTGCCAATAATGCAAGCGTAGAAGAAGAAATGTGCTGTTTACCTGTGCAAAGAAAGAAACAACGAAAGAAAAATGTCTGAGGACTTCAGTGTTGAGGAAGAGCATGAGTTCTTTGCCGAGCTGAATGCGCACTTTCATCTGGTTTGGTCTGCCGCGGTTTCCGTAGGCTCGTGAACTCGCAGGCGTGCGCTTTTAGGAAATCCTATACACTACTGTTTATGCTCTAAAAACATTCTAAATGACTTCGTTTCGAGTAAATTCTGGATGCTACCCACTCAGGACACTTGGAATACATTGGACGAGCAGTATGGAGGAATATTGACACGTTTTTTGTGGACTTTTATGGACCTTTCTGCCTCGGGCACCATAGACCTCCATTATTTGAATGTCAGCAGACAGCAAGAAGCCTCCCAGATCTCCAGATGCATTTGAGATATCAAAAAAGTACTCCAGAGTGTTGTTCAGCATGGGGGTGAGTAGCAAATCAAGGCTAATCATGTTTTGGGGGTACTATTCCTTTAACTTTAAGACCAAGCAAAATATGGATGCTGAACATCTTACTACTGTTCTGGGGGCTAATTACATTTTCAAGAGTTTAGCAGCAGTACCGTCGTCTCAGATATCAGATTTATAGTCCCCACAATGTAGAGCTATTGGAATCTGAGCTTAAATGTCAGCCAAACCCATTTGCACAGAGACAGATAAAACCTTTCAATAAACCAAACATTACCTGCCACATATCTGACTCAATAACTTTTTTCATTATCATATAATTATATTAAACTGCACTTACAATATTCACCACTGTTTGGGATCATTTACGTTCTTCCTCTGAGCATGTAGGAGCCAGCTTGCTTGGACTTGCAATGAATCATGGGATACCCAAGACTACGTAGCATGCATTGCACCTGTCCTTCAAAATGAGCAAAAAGAAGGTTGCATATGTCGGCTGCATAATGAAGTTTCCAATCCGAACAGGCCTCTGCGCTGCGGTATGACATAATAGGTCGACAAACCCGGCCTACTGAGAACGAAGCAACTGAATTTGAACACAGCAAAAGTGGGGCTTTCTTTATATTGCATGTGCAGCCCCAGCAAAGTTGTTGCTTCCTGTAGGGGGCAGCTTCTCATCGACCCACCCCACATATTCTTTGAAATCACTTTCTGCTGTCAAACAGGCGCTTGATTTAACAGGTTTGAGAGGAATCAAACTTTATCTAAAAAAGTCCTGAAAACAAAAGAAATGGTTAAGAAGAACAACATTCCACAATGCTGTCAATGCTCCATCTAATCTAGAGTCCTCATTTTCCTGCAGAGAGAGATGCGTCTAGGTTCCACTTGGTCACAAAGAAATTCCAGAATATTTTCCTATTTGTGGATTATGTGAAGGCATATGGCTTTGATTTAATTTGGCTGCTGAGATCCACATCTTGAACGCACCTTTAATTTGAGGTTTGATCGTTTATTACAGCAGAGCGTCTGTTTTCAAACTCACTTCCCTTAGAGTGGCGGTTGTGAAGATGAAGGCAAGATGTATAGTCATAAACTAAACCAAACAAAGGCAGTTTTTCAGGCTGAGATCTGATCAGAGGATTGAAGCGTTTGCTTTGTGCACCCTACAGTTTGACAAAACCAAATGACTTCTCTGAATCAGGCAGTGGAATTAGTTATATATGGAGCTGTAGTGAGAGATTGTTTGCTCTCTCCTTTAGGATTCAGTGTAGAGAAAGCTAACGGGAAAGCGAAGACGAATGGTCTCACAGGTGGGACTCTAAGTCACGCTGTGTGTCACTGAATTATAGTGGCAGGTGTGTGATTGGTGGAGGCCGCAGCCAGGAGCACGTCAGTCACCTGAAGTCAAACATCCGTCTGGAATCCACATCCTGACCCTGGAGTCGGCCTCCAGTCAGAACCAGATAATTCCAGCAGGACAATCTGCTGCCGTCTTTTGAGCTCCAGCTTAATGGGAACCTGGATCCTGGAGCAGAAGCTACAATCTTTGAAGATGCACATCGCAATGTGGCAACAGAAACAGGCACAACACTGATGATCGTAGCAAAATGTGATTTTTTATTAGACACTTCAATGCCATGTTAGACACTTCACTGTTTCAGCTTTTAACATCGGTACAGACGCTTTGCTTCAATAAATTAGTCTCCCAACACGAGCCGCACCTCGTTTCCCTCCTGTCCCTTTAAGGCGCTACACCAGTGGTCTCACAGGTAAGGACAACTCTGAAAGGCGTAACTGGAGGAGGATGTCCTCCACCTTACCTCTGGTACTGAAACTAACCACTTTGACTGAATGTGACCCCATGTATCCGGGGACCTGCATGACTGCATTGATCCTGGTTTGGTTGGAGCACAAGCTTCCCGACCGTTCCAGACAGAGCTGCAGGGACGGAGCCCGGCGGGACTACTGGCCTTTATCTGCTTCAAAATGAACACCAGTGGATGTTTGAGGAGGATTACAGCAGTAACTAACTTTGTTCTCCCTAAAGCTTACATATCCACGCACTTCGGTGTGGAAGTGGTTACTGACGAAGGAAACTGAAAGGAGGACACCTTGGTGGCTGTTTGAATCTATTTGGAAAATAAATCATATTTTATCTCAAACTTGGTGACGTCACCCCCTTACTTTAACCTGCAGTCTCACCCAGGTGGAGGGACTCCTGTTAGCAGAGGATGTTAATGCGCAATCTGTTAATGAAGAGTATAAAAAGTGCTTGAGCTGACCGCCCACAAACATACCAAAAATATTTCACATCAAGTCTCCTTCTTCATTCTGCGACAATGCAGGTGAATTACGTTTCTGTAAGGCCATAGCTGGCAGCATTTGTCTAAAGAAAGAAAAAGATCAAGTGCAACCAAGTGTTTTGCTATAAAAAAAAAATGTGTACCTGTATCTTTCACAAAAAACAAAATAAGAATCACAGGTTGAGTTTTCTTTGATCATGCAATAAGGCACTGCAGCTGGATGTTGGTGAAAGCTGAAAAAGGCGTTTTTCTCCCTAAGAACAATAAAAATATCACTTCTTTCTTTGCCATGCACGGATATTCCAACACTCTTTTGTAAAACTTATATAATATTAAAGAAAACTCTTATGTACAGTCAAAAGTCCCTCTTATATTTCTCTTTTTTTCCTACTGCACATAATTACACTGTACAAGATTCCCTATATTTGCATGCTTCAAATGCAAGTCACATTTATTTCCTTTTTTTTTTGGGTACTAAAGTTCTTTCTTTAAACTGGTCTCCTCCCAGAGGAAGGTTTTAAACTATATACAACTGATACGCTCAGGTGGGGCGCCACCCACACAAGCTTCCTCTTTGAACCCCCGACTCTCCCTTTCGACGACGAACGTATATTTGTCCCCCCCGGGTGTCGGTCAGGACGCGGGAGGCTCTGGATCGTCCCCCTCCATGTGAGGTAGCAGTTTATTTCCCAGTGCAAAGAAAGAATTCAAAGCTTGATTCAGTGTCCCGCTAGTCGCTCGATCTCCTTAGAGGGACGCTCCCACTCTGAGAGGCTCTGAGGGCGTGTCCGTTTGGCAGCAGAGTCTGCCTGAGCTCAGGCTCACAGTCAGTGTCCAAGCGTCCGTAGTTTGTCCCGCCGGCCAGCTTTACCGGCTCATGGAAGGAGTCATCCTGCGACGGGCAGCCTGCCGGCGTCGCTCCCCTTCTGCTTGCTGGAGGGTAAAGGACACAAAGCAAGGGAAAGGTTAATAACAAGAACTCTAAGTAATATAATATAAATATATTTCTTTATTATTCTGTGAGGTTGATAACTTGATTGATCAGATTGGTGTTCCTGTGAAATTTCTGAGTTACTGTTTGCACTTTTTTCCACCAACCTGTTCTGTCATCCTGACTTCGCTCTATCGTGTTGTGATTTTTGGGAAAGGCAGATCCTTGCGGGTCCTTTCGCATACTGCAGGGTGTGCCGTTGCAGAGGGACCCGTCGTTTGCCTGGTTACACTGAGAGTACGGCGGCGGGGCTAGCGGCTCCTGTTGGTACTCGCCGGCGTGAGCGAGGTCGAATCCGTGGGCCAGGTAGTCTGTGTCGGTGGAGTAGCTGTTGCCGGTCTCCATGCAGTTCGCACACACCACAGCTCCGTCAAACCCTGCAGCGGAGGAGGGAGGTTAATCATTTGCAGGCGGTAGATAATCGCCACTGCTATGAGAGCGTAAGCAGAGGTTATTTATAATTGACGAAGGTTTTCACATACATTAAAAGCTGCAGGCAGAACTAATTACTGGAGAAGGAACGAGGACTGGTACCTGAGGTGTCTAAAACGTGCCCGTTGGGCTGAGGTCCGCTTCCAGCTTCCACACGGATACACACGTCCTGTCGCTCGGACAGAGTGCCCTGAGAGGACAGGTAGCTGGGGACATCTGGAGGGACAATCGTCTCGTCTGCAAGAGGTGAAAAGAGTGTGAGACATCAAAGCAGAACCTTCCTAGAACATCTTGGTGGTTCTAGACATACCCGTGTTGGTCACGCTGCACTCCTCGCTCTTCTTCCTCGTCTGATAAATGATGCAGACCCACACCAAGGATGTCACCACAATGCTTGTAACCACGGCGATGACAATGATGCCAATGGTGCTCAAGCACGAGCCGCGCTCGGTCACCACCAGCTGGCTGTGGGCGCGTGCTGTGCCCAGCCTGTTGGACATTACACAGGTGTAGCGGCCGGAGTCATTCGTCAAGGCGGAGTTGATGACCAGCAGCTGGTTGCCGGGGGTGAAGAAGTGCCGGTCGGAGGTGGGCAGCGGCCGGTCGTCATGCAGCCAGGTAATACGCGGCGGCGGGCTACCAAGGGCTTTGCACTGCAGCGCCACCGTGTCGCCAGCCGCCACGCTGGGGTTCTTCATGTCCTGAGCCAGGTGGGGCGTTTCTGTCAACGAGGAGAACATTTTCACTACACAGGTGGTGGGCGCAATAATCAATGTCACTGAATTTAGAGGCTTTAATGCTTTAAGCTTTTAAGTTTCAGGAGGAAATAAGGAATATAATTTAAATTTAAGGCACTTTTTCTCTAACTTTTAAAAGGTTAAAAAAAAGAAAAACAAAATAAAGTGTGCCCACATGAAAAAAAAAAAAGACAAACTGTAAGAACCCTGATGATGAAGACTATGGATGATGTCTCCATTGTCAGCATCACCAATAACTTGTCCTGCATTCAGCAGCTGGAGGATTGAAACTTTGCTTCCAGCAGGGCGATGATCTCACACACCAAACTAAAATATGGGTGTCTGTCAGTAACCTGATCCACAAAAGAACGCCACTATTTTACAGTAAGCTAGCTAATAGCTACAGAACCTATTGAAGCTACACCAATTGATCAGCTCTGATCCCTTAAACTAAGGTTACCGATTGTTACTATTGTTTCCACAAAGGTCAGAAATCAGCCACAGTTCGAGCTCAAAGTATTCGTTCAGGTTTCAGTGTTATTTCATGGGTTTTGTTTAATGTAGGGTTCAAACAATCGGATTAATCGATTATTTAAATAATCATCAACTAATCTAGGAATCAATTAATCGTTAACTGGAGTATTGAGACGCTAAAACATGCCTCTAAACATTTGGCATTTATGATAAAAAGCTTTTTCGTCTGTCAATATGCTCCATCTAGAACTTTAAGGAACCTTTTGCGATCCATTTATTGATCAATTAATCGAAAAATAATGTAGAGACTGATCGATTTGCAAAATAATCATTAGTTGCAGCCCTAGTTCAATGTCTTAAATAAATCTAAATTTGGCCAGAAAACTGTTAAAAAAAAAACTTTTTTTAAAATGTATTGAAATGTTTGTATTTCCATTAAATTCTTCTGGTGCTGCAACCTTTCCATGACATTCTTGACCTCATTACCAGCGATCATGTGATGGTCCTACATATTAACCCTCTAAAGGTTCTGCTGCGGCTCCATAGACTTCCAGTATGAATCAGAGGCTCCCAGTGAATCATAGAAGGTTCATCTCATTAAACAATGACGTTCTTACATTGAAATGCTGATAAACTGTGGCATCAAGTTACTTTTTATCACAACAAACTAACAAGATTTGTTCTGCCAGTGAATCCTCTTGGGAACAGTGTTGCCAGTGTTTGTTAGAGCGACTTGAGATTCTGGAGAATGGACTGCATTGAATCAATCAGTGTGTGTGTGTGAGGGTTGGCCTCTCAGACTCAACACTTCCCCTCACAGTGGGACATACACAGATTAAGAGATCTCACTTAACCCACTTCAGCCTCCCCATTTTTCTTCTCTATCTATACTTTCTCCACCACAGCTCTTTTCTTTTTTCCTTCCAAACCCCCTCCTCCTACTTCACTGTTCCTCCCACCGCCCAAACCCACCTCTCTTTTTCCAGACAGGGGCCCCTCCACTGCAGCCACCATCCCCCTCAAACCCAAACATCACCGATTGGGCAGAGCAGCTCCCATTTTTTTTTGCGCTGCAGGATTTGAAAAGCTCAAACTGCGCATCAAACACGTCACCAACCTAACTCTACCTGTGTTAGGTGTAGATGTAGACATTTTTATTTTATTTGGTGGGGGTGCTTAAAGGAGCTTCCTGAATACAAAGGACAAAGATGAACTTTGTTTGTTAGAGCAGAGAAGCTGTTTTGTTTCAGTTTGGTGTGTAAAACAGCCAATAAACTTGGAGCAGTGAGGCCTGCAGCGAGGTAGCCATTACCGACCCCCCCTCTGAGAGGAGAGAAAGGGGTGGGAATGCCTAACAAACACCCCTCTGTGAGCCCGCCACTCCACTCTGACCCCTATCTACGACCTCTGGCCCATGACCTGCAGCACGGCCGCAGCTGCTGAGAAAAGAAAAATATAAAGCTCCTCATTCTGACCAATTCCCAGCTGAGCGCCCGGCTTTTTCCACATGCAGCTGTGGGAACGTGGTCGGTGTGGACCGCGGTCGGAGGTTCTGGGCTCTTACCCAGCACGGTGAGGGTGGCGTTGGCCGAGACGGTGCCCGCCGTGTTTTTGGCTGTGCAGCTGTAGACGCCCATGTCCTCGGGCTTCACACCCATGATGAAGAACACGTCGTCGTCGGGCATCACGTGCATGCGGCGCTCCCGGGCGGCGGGGAAGTCCGTGCCGCCGTCTTTCTGCCAGGCAATCTGGGGTGCCGGGTGGCCCTCTGCGGCGCACTCCAACCTGGCGGTGTTCCCCGTGCGGATGGCGCTGTCCCTGGGGGTCTTCAGGAAGGACGGCAGGACTGTGGAGATGGAGAACATTAGGCTGGAAAACTGGGGCTGCTGGCCACTTTTTTCAGGTTTTCATTGTATTCACAACAAAAAACTGTTCTAGCTAATGGCCCAGTGGCAAATTTCACAGGAAAATGTTTTATTCACAAGATATTTGACCCAATAATTAACTTGTGGCAAATCTCTAATGACAGAAAATGTTTCTGCAACCTGCAAATAAGCAGGTTTCCTGCTTATATTTTCTGGAGGTTGTTAGTAATTTTATCAGCTGAAGTCTCTAGATCTGTAATTCCATAGCAGATAGCTTAAAATCCAAAGTAGTCCAATTAGCCTTCCTGTTACCTCCTGAAATTGTTGCTCTCACCCACTAGCTTTAACACTAAATACACAGCAGAGGGAGCTGTTGACACCCAGTTAGATGCCTGAACCGATGGAAAAGGATCAGTGGCATCTAGAATTAGGCTGTAAATTCACCATTTCCTGCTAACGGCTAAATTTCCAGAGCATTTTGCTAATGACATACCGTTGACAACAACTTGAGCCTTGTTGGAGTAGGTGGAGCCAAAGTGGTTGGTGATGATGCACTGGTAACGGCCCTCATGGGCAAAGGTGGCGTGCCGTAGATGCAGGATGGTGGTGTACTCCATCACGCCTCCGCCCATCCCCGACGTGTCGGGAGTGGCGCCCTGATGGCGGGTGTGCAGGTGTGCAAAGTTCTCTATCTCCGCGTGGGAAAGCAGCTCCTGGTCTTTGCGCCAGGCGAAAGTCACTGGTGAGGAGCTGCTGCTCACCGCCTTGCAGGTGAGACGCACATCGCTGCCCAGTACAGTCATCGTGTTCTCCGGCTGGACTGTGATCTGAGGCTTGGGGAGGTCATCTGGATAAGAGATTAACGCCAACACAGGTTAAGAAACATAAGGCAGCATGTGGAATTTAAAAAAAAGCAGAAGTGTAGACCCGACTTACCACACACAAAGCCATTTTGCGGAGCTTCAAATATGCTAGTGCCCTGCAGGCTCACTGGGTGGGCACATGTGGCATTTACACCTGTCTGCAGACCATGAAACTGCAGCCAAAGGGGCAACCACTGGAGCTGGCAGTCACAGAGGAAACTGTTGCTCTGAATGAGGCTAGACGCAAAGAAAGAACGCACTGGATTAAATCTGCATTTCTAAACTGTAAGGACAATTTTTTTTTTTATTCAGGCTAAACCCTTTGCATTTGAGCAGGTGCTGCTGTTGGCATTTTTGCTAAGAAAGCATTTCCCATACTCTGTTGATTCTTGTTGCATCCAGAAACCTTAACCGCATTATTAGGAGTTAATATCATAGAACAACACTTAGCCGAGCATATGTATTATTTGAGCAAGTAATAAAGATGATCTGTTCAGTATTTTAATCGTTTTAATTCCATTGGTAAATTGTCTTACCTGCTCAAATCAAGGGAATCATACTAATTAAAGAAAAATTGACTTATATTTACACTTTTATTATGGATTTAGTCTCCTTTTTTAAACCTCTTTTAGTGTGATACTCAAACCAAAATCCATCCTTAGTATGGTGGGTTGATGGTACTGACTTTAGATAGGCAAAAATACAAAACAAAACCCAATTTGGAGACAAAATGTTGGAAAACTGTCATTCTTCTTCCAGGTCTTAGCCATCCATGACTCCCAGATGGTGTTTCACATGTGGTTCTAGTATGTTGGTGGGACACTGTCAATGATGTGTAAATCAAAGATGCTACTCACAGGCTTTTCAGGATCCTGATCTGGCTGAAAGCATCGGGCTGGATGGAACGGATCGCGTTCTCTCCCAAGTTCCTGTTGGCATGTAAGAAATCAGCACATCAGCTGTTACACCAAGCTGGGGGGGGGATATCAAGGTTTTTCATATCAACCTTTTTTTAATCACCTTAAATAAGCAAAAGGAGTGAAAAAAAATCTTAAAGCGACTACATTTCTACACCACAGCTCACCATGTGCTTAATAAAGCAGGAGGGGAGTTCTGAGAGAGAGAGAGAGGCAGCTGGATGCTTCGTCTTCTCCTTTTACAAAGATCCTATTAAATTGCAGCAACCGCCTTTCTGCCATTACTTTAAGGGCAACCTCAGACCCACCCCAGTCTTTACACCCAGCTGTCTCCCTCCCCATCGCTCTGCTGTGGGATACTCACAGGTGTTCCAGGGTCTCAAGGCCGGCGAAGGCTTTCTTGGCCACAGATTTGATCTTGTTTCCAAACAGAGTCCTGCCGTCAAAAAACATGCAGGGAGCCAATTGATGGAGGGAGAGAAAGAAGAAGGGGGGGAGCACAATTAGCAAGGCTGAATCTGATAAGAGGAAAAAGGGATTGGGGTATTGGAAATCTGAACTGGGTTGAGATTATCAAGGAGGAAGGGTGAGTGTAAAGAAATAGGGCTAAAGGACTACTTTTATCTTTATTAGAGTAAAATAGCAAAAACCAGGTGCTGATGTGTGTGTTTGAGTGTAGCGCTGTTTTTTTTCCGAGGTTAAATGGAGATCAGCTTCACCAGGGACAGGAGTTCAAGCTCATTCACACACACTAAAAGCAGCCAATCACAACAGTGACCAGCTAACAGCTTTATAAACCCATCATCAGCCAACATCTCCACTGAACACCAGCTTAAAAGACCAACATAGTATTCCCCTTCTTCTGGGGTTATTCTCCGCTCTATGTCCATCTGTCTGATCAAATTCTTATCAAATAAACTGAAGTTATTGGTTTGAACGTGACAGGATCAGACTTTGCTGGACACTTGAAGTCCTCCTCCTTCTACATTTTCTTTTTCCCATGGCTCGCCTTGAAAGCTTTGGGATGCAGGGGACTGCTTCCGTCATGACAAAAAAAAAACTAAATAAAAGGGGGTAGGGTCAGAGGGTGGGGCAGGAGAGGCGTTTGATGTTTGATGACTGAATACGGCCCTCAATTTCACCCTCTCTCAGCTTCCAACAACAGACAGTGGGAATTGGGGGGGTTGAAAGGAGCTGAGGCATGAAGCAGAAATAGAAATAAGCCTTTTGGGGAGAGAACCCCCCACCAGCTCAAAGAAAAGCCTTTTCTCTCCTACTTTCTTGGGCTCTTTCTCTCGGCCTCTCTCACACTGGGAACCATCTTGGCTGGACGTCGTCTTTTCATCCTGCAGGTTGATGATTGCCGCTCATAGCCACTAAAACTTCCCCTCTAGCTCCAATTTCACAAATCGCTAACTTCACAGACACAAGTGCCGCTTGGCTTGATTGATTCTAAGATAATAGAGATTTAGGGGAAGAAATAAAGCTGACCTTTAAGCAAAGGTTGGAAACACCAGGTTACATGTACTTAATGTTTGTTGAACTATCTTCTTCCTCCGTCTCGCCATAAAGCCAATCATTAAAAAGATTCACACCTAAAAGCTGAAAGGCTCCTGAGGATCAGAGCTACATGGGGCGAGGCACTGAGGCCAACAACATCTTGTGATTATTCTGTTCCAGCTTTACCCGAACAAGGAGCTAATTATCAGATGGAGACTAAAGGATGAAGAGGAAGAAAATGTGGAGGATTAACGTCCTGCAGCCGTCAACCAGAGTGCTGAATCTAAAGAGGTAACAGCATTGCTTTACAATCACCTGGACGTCCCTCCATCCCTGATTCACTGAGAAAGAAGCCAAACCTTCCTATGGTTCTATAGCCAATGTCTCTAATGGCCTCCTTAAAACCTTGGCTGCCAGTGAAAAGTAGATAAGGACCCGGCTGGAAACGTTTGATCTAATCGGAAACTGTTTTCTAAGAACCAGGCCATAACCGGCTGTTAGATTGTGAGGGTGTCTGAGGAGGGGGAATAACAAATGAACGAATGGAAGACACTCACAGCTTATTGAGCTTGTCCAATCCAGCGAAGGCCCCGTTGGTGTCCTCTATTGTGCCAGAGATGTCGTTATGGTCCAGCTCCCTGCAGAGAAGAGAAGAGGATAAGAAGGACCAAACTTTCCCAGCCCTGGCAGAGCTGGCCCTGAAATCATGGGCTGCCAGTTTGCCCACGCTCCAACCCTCCCCCATCTGCACCTGGCCTGAAAAAGCCCCTCTGCTGCTCTGCTGTGCCAACCGAGCGCATTCTTTCCTTCAAGAGGGGTGGAGGAGTGAGCCATGCGAGTGAGTGTAGGGACGCGAGCCCCCCTGTGCAGGGAAACAAATGCATGATGCATGGGGCTGGGCGAGAGCATAATGCCTGGTTGGAGCTGGAGGGGTCAACGGGTAGGGAACATCCAAGGCCAAAGCTTTGCCATGGTCAGGCAGATAGAGAAGAGAACCAATGGGTATAAAAAGCGTATTGGGAGTTTGTGAATGCAAGCTGAAGTCATAGCTGTGCTGACGCCACTGCTAACCCTTCTGCATGTAGATCAAAAAGAAAAAACCCTCCGGTTCTGTGAACTCCTCTGAATCAACAAAAGACCTTCCTCCAAACGTAAGGAAACCCTTTCAGGTTGATGGTCAGCTGCACCTCCTCCTCCCTGCACCTTCCAAGCATCTTTTGTAACCCCTCCGCTCCTTTTCAGTCTCTGCTGGCTGCTGTCTTTGCTATGGGGCTCCAATGGGCCTGCCAATTTCCTACACTTTCTGGCTGGCTGGATTTGAATCGCCACTGCCTCGTTAAAGCAAAGCCAGGGGTGGATGGATGAGCAGCCATGGAGCTGAGGGAGATGCAAAAGCGGAGGCGGGTGGGGGAGATGAGCCTTCGGATTAGAGGGCAGGCTGGTTTGTTTGGAGCTTCACACCCTGATGTAGGCTCCAGCCCCATGCCAGCACAACCAGCAGCACATCCCCAATTAAAGCTCCCCCAGCTCTTTTTGAGGGTCCTGCCTATGCCTGCTCTCCCCTGCCCTGATTAGATTAGACCTGCCTCAACAGACACCGGGACAAAGGTTTAGACAAGAAAATTACTCTATTAAAAAAAAAACAGAAATGTACATATTGGAGTTTGTGGCTATAAGATGAAAAAAATCTAAGGGGTTTGAATACTTTAACGAGGCATTAGAGGTGTTGGTTATAAGGCGACATGCAGGGATGACAGCAAAAGCAGAAGGTAAAAATAAAAGGAAAAAAGGGGGATGAGGAGATAAAGCAGTAGAAATGAAAACTCATCCAAAGTGCTAGTCTCTTTCCTCTGTGGCCAGTAAACAAGCCCCCCAAGTGTGTCGGATGTGTGTGCCTTGGCTCATCAGCCTGTTCTGAGATGTGCTTTATGAAGATCTGGCTCAACTGTCAGGTTTTTTCCTTCTTCTTCCCAAGACCCAAAAGGCTTTAAGGGATTTATCCAACAACTGTTTTTTTTTTCCTATCCCTTTATTTTATTTAGGCTGTTAATGGAAAAGCTGGAAGCAACAGAAAAGTTTTATTTATCCTCAGGTTCTAGAAGCAACAGGACTATACATGAATGCTAATGGCAGGCTCTGGAAAGGCACGTTAAGGAACTACTTGAGCATAAATATCAAATCTCACTCAGGCAACACCAATATTTACCAGCTCAGCTTTCAGTGGAACCTCTGACCTTATCTCTAGCAGGGGCCTAATGTCAATGAGAGGGGATTGGTCATAAAGTCTCAGGGTGGTGGACTTACAGGACTCGTAGGGCCTTCAGGCCCCTGAAGGCTCCCTCGTCAATGTGGCTGATGGCGTTGTGGCCCAGCCGCAGCGAGTGCAGCTCCCCCAGCACAGCCAGACTCCCCTCGTCCAGACGGGTCAGGTTGTTGTAGGACAGATTCCTGGACAGAGGAAGAGGGGATGGGGCATAGAGAAACAGACTTATGAGGTCTTTTTTTTCCTAATCTAAGTTTTAACAGATCCAGCAGATGACAAAGCAGAGCTGAGATCCATTCATTTAGCCGTGGAGAAACAGTTCTGGTAAGGATATTATAAACCAGCTGAATGTGTCATTAGTTTACCCTGATTAAAGATTCACAGAAATCCAGCTGCTTTCAGCCTTTTTTTAAGAAAAAGACACACAGACAAGTTTTTTCCTGGCTTCTCTCAGGTCTTACCTTCTGATTATATAATAGATGGAAGCATAAAAAAACTTGGGTGGAAAAAAAGTTTAACACAGGTACTGTTTCTGATTTTAAGAAACCGAATAATGGATCTTCCCTTTGTGAGACGCACCGATTACCGTGATGCTCTAAAGATGATCTTAAGACATAGTCCTGCTGCGTATATTAGGAGGGATCTGCTCTGTTGGATTGTCTTGGCTGTTATCGTCCAACATGTAGTGTCCCTCAGCATGATGTTTAGCCAATCAGAAAGAGGATAATTGACTTGTCTCATATTTTGAGAGTAGAGCTGCTCCACTGTGTTTATCATTTTCGCATGTAAAAACCACCATTGCCTGTTCATCATCTATTTACCCTGAACTCATGTCTGGGGATGTTTAGTGAGATTTCCTGACATTTGAATTTTTCCTCAGCGAATTCTGTTCAGGGTTCCCAGATATCAATACTCAATAATTATATAGCCGTCATGGCCGATTGCCAATTTTTCTTTCTGGCACCATGAAACCCGACCACGTTGCTGACAATGCTGGTCTGCTTCATATAACCACCCACAATCCTTTGCTACATTACCATAACTGTCAAATGACCAAACCACCCTCCTCCCTCACCTGAGATAAAAACAGTAACTGGATGGAAACGAACATCGCCCCTAAAAATCAGCCCAGTTCTACTAATACAGACAAAAAATGGCTGAATCAATGTTAATATTTACCCCTGACCTCTGTTCACGTGTTGCTCTTTCTGTGTGGCAGTACACCACCCAGCAGGACCGAACCTGTAACATCTACCTTTTTCCCCACAATCAGCCATTGATTGTGAACTTTCGCAATGTGAACCAGGTATGGGGGCTTGCAAATCAGATTACATTGTGGTAATTTAAAAAATATATTAATAAATAAAAAATAGCTGTAGATCTAATTCAACCTTAGATAAGAAAACGGCCAGTCTTTAGTCTTTACTGCATTTAATTTTGAATAAAAAAGTTTAAATATTAGAGGACCCAGAACCACATTGAAATAAAGGGCGAAATAAAAAGATCTGAAAACCAATAAAAATCTGACTTTTATAGACTTTATTCTAGTAAAAATGGTCCCCTGATCTCCTCTTTTAACATATTAGCCTTTAGCTTCTTAATGATCATAAATCCTGAAGCAGGAACTTTCCAATGCTCAAACACAGTATGTTATTGGCCTCTTCTGTGTCGATCTCTGCAACCAGGCTTCAGGTCTGCTTGACCAGTCATGTGTGCAGAGATTCCCCCCCGATGACCAGCTCAGCCAGGCGCAGTGGGAATGCAATAACAAGCTCCTCATAAAGACGGGCCAACCGCCTCACCGTCCGCTGCGGTCATCATAGCTCTATGGATAATAAATCCATGCGAACGGGGACCGCTGTGTTCGGGAAGCAATCTGCCATTCATAAGATGTGCACACAGGAAGCAGCGCTGAGATACACAGAGCAAACGCGAATGTATGCCGTCCACCACTTAATCCCCTCAGACTGCAGCACGTAAACAAGCAGAGGCGCCACAGATAACCAGGGCTACCTCACGGTTAGCGATGGCTTTAAAGCAGCATTACGACACTCATGTCAACAACACAGGGGAGAGACTTGCAGATAATAACTCAGTAGACAAAGGATGAGGAGGTGATCCTCTGGTGTAATTACCACAACACAAACAGTGGAGGATTACACGGCCGTTTGCCAAAACCTCAGGCTTCACAGACCGGGACAAAAACTCTTGTCGAAGGGCTTGTGCACCGTTGAGCCCAGCTCTAATTATGGGATAAACAGGCTTATCCTGAGAATGGCGTAGCGGATAGAGTGTTAAAGCAAAATGTCATTTAACCCACAACGAAGGCTGACAGAGAGAGTTGGGTTACTGAAACCCACTAAAGCACCTAAGGGTGAACAATCACCATCTAAACACTGAAGCTCTACGTCAGGGAGGTACTCACAGTTCCCTCAACCTCTGGCAGAACTTCCAGCCATCAGGGTTGATGCGGGCTATGGAGTTATTGCTGAGGAAGAGCTGTGTGAGGGAGCTGAGGCCATACAAGGAGCCGCTGTTCACCTCAGTCAGGTTGTTGTACTCCAGGTGGCTGCAAGAGAAAACACTTCCTTTAAGGAAAAATACAAAAGCAGAAAGCATTTGCTCTCCAGCAGGAATGATATAACTTTCTGCTACATATTCTATCTGAGCCAACACCCCCACATCTATGTCGTTTGTGGCAAAGACCACTTCGCTTTGAATAATTTCAAAAATGTTTTAAGTTTCCTTAATTTAATGTCTGTGAAGCAAAGAAATAAGGGAATTAAACTGTAGTTTATCTTCATGCAATTTGTATACAGAGGATACACTGCAGGCCTTAATGCTCAATTCTTTGAAGTCGTTAAGATTTCCATATATATGCAACTTGTATGTGATCTCCTGTTTGAACTGTATCCACAACTGAAATGTCCTGCATGAAGAACGCAACGCGGTAACCAGTAGGGAGCGTGCTCTGTGTCCACGGAAATTAACAAGGATGGTAGAGTTGGAGCTAGCGCCATTTTGCTAATCAAATAATCTGTCATTGATTTTTTTCTAATAATAAATTAGTAATAGGATGGAAAACGGTTCCTTGAGAATGTAAACGAGGTGAAGCTAAAGCTAAGCCACTCAAGTTTTAGATAGAGTGTTTGAAGGTTTTTCATCTTCATAGCAAAAATTTTTGTACAATTCTTTACAACTTTGGTATAATAACTGATCTAAGTGTGTTGCTCTTTCAACAAATGTTATGTTTTGTGGTCTAATCTACAGTTAACGATAAATCGATTACTAAATCAGTTGACAGTTATTCAAATAATCAATGAATCATGATTAATTAATTGTTTCAGCACATCTTGCGATCTTTGTTTTCTTTTCCAGCCGGAGCCAGCACATTAACAAAGAAGATCCTTTTAGACAGATAAAAAAGAAAGACTGCTTTCCTTATTATCGTCCGACACAGTTGTTCTTCTTCCATCTTCCGTTCAGCAGGACGTAGAACGCTGACTTTTGTCGAGAATTAATGACATACAGGTTGGATGATTGTGATCTGGCTAAACAGACGGACAAAGATCGTGTTTGAAAAGTTTAGACCTCTTATTCAGACTGCCTTGAAGAGATCAGATACAGGTTGCATATTGGCAAATAAAACAAAACGGACCTCAGGCTGCTGTGTGAACGTAGCTTTAGAGTAACTGGCATCTTTTTGAACAGTCTTCAACAGTGCTGAGTAAAAACCCCCCTTTGGTGTTTTTTTACACAGGTTTCAGCGACATTTCTAATCCGATATTTTTTTACGTACAGGACTTTCATCTTGGACAGATTCCAGAAGGCTCCATCAGTCAGTTTACTGATGCTGTTTCTTTGCAACTTCAGCACCTCCAAGCTGGACAGACCCTGGAAGGTTAGGCCCTCGATCTGAAGGATACGGTTCCTGTTCAGCTCTCTGTAGGAGGAAAAAAGCAACCAACAATAAAGCTTATTATCAAAAGGAATAGGGTGCATAAAGCAGATGTAGTTTCTTCCACACGGTTTCTTTAATGTCTAAAGTACGTCGCCCCTAGCAGTTACAGGTATGCTGTCTACGGGACCACCTGCTCAACAAAAGGCACCTGGAGAACCGTACTCTAATTACACAAACGGCTCTGCTCCCCCAAGAAAAGGTGCTGAGCTACAAAATGGGTCAGCAGTGGCGCTGCACTGATGAGGATAATGGACCGTGGTGCTGAGATTGAACTAAGCACTTTGGGGATATGGAGGAAGGCAGTAAATCACTAATAATACAACAGTGGTGTTTACCTTGTCAGACCTTATCCACCCCTGGAGTTATAGCTCACACTAACGGTGTTCTTAATGTTAAAACACACAGAGCCAGATCAACAGACACCGGGAAACCAACTCCTCATCTAAACTCCTAAATCCTTTCAATTCTATTAAGTCTGAAAAGGAAAGACAGGGGAAACCCATTCATTTCCAGCCTCCATTCTACTGTTGAGGTGAACTGGTCACACTGACTGAGACCCAAAGCCATAAAAGAGAGCAGCACTCACAGCTGGATGAGCCTTGTAAGCTGGAAGGCTCGGATCGGGATCTGGCTTATTCGGTTTCGGCTAAGGCGCAAAACCTGCAGAGTTGAGCCCAGACGGTCCAGCGCTCCAACTTCCAGTGTGCTGATCTTGTTGTTGCTGAGGTATCTGAAAAAGAAAAATTCTAACTGCAGCGTCAACACACACCATTTACAACAAAGCAATTCTTACTTCTTAGAAGTTATTTTGAGTAGAGATCAACACAAAAATTTAAACATCCGCCTCCTGAGGTACTTACAGGTCTCTGATGCGAAGTCCGGCGGGAAAGCCGTCCTCTCGCAGGTCAGTGATGTCATTATTGCTCAGGTCCAGCTTTTCCACAGAAACCAGCTCTATGGTTCGTCTGCCATCTATATTGCGGATCTTATTATGATGCCTGAAAACAAAAAGGAAAAAAATGTAACATGAGGTGTGTTTGGAAATGTCTTTGCTTCGCCTCAACATACAGTTTATCAGGGAAAGGGGAGGGGTCCAAATCCACTCTTACTTCTTTAAGTCCACTTAGGCACAGCGAGAGCAAAGTACACAGAACAAAGTGGTCTTTATCCACCACAAAGTGTCTTCTTTTCTCCCAAACAGAAGCAGGCCTTCTGTAAACAACCTGAAGGACAAAGAGGCCGTCACCGACTGTGAGGAGAGACGCAGTGATGGCAGCGCGTCTCTGAATGGAGGTGACATAGAAGCTAAAGGTTTAGGCCTTTCTTTCTGCCCGGCCTGCTGCAGGTTTTCTCACACTGTAGATGCTTTACACCAGAGACATGGGCATGTTTGACAGCCCTTTGTCTCACTGTTTGGAGGTACTTGTTAGAAGACCACCAGCCTGCGTGACAGCAGTGAGGATGAAAGTCCTCCGCATGGTGAAACACACAGGTCAACACACAACTAGGTTTTAAATAGGGCTGAGAATCGCTTTCAGGATGCCTCGCCTAAAAAGAAATGAAAATAGCAGAAAGTGTGCAACAAAAGTTCCCCACTTTGTTTTGAAAATGGATCTTTTAAAATCCCCCAATTATGAGATTAGTGCAGCAAAACAAGGGGGAGGATAGTGAATTGCTGCTCCAACATTAGTGATAAAACCCTGAATAAAGTCTTTGATTATTGTATTTTTTTATCCCTTTAGTTTAATAAAAACATTTTAAAAAAAATCAAATAAATTAAAAAAGTTATTTCAGTTGACCTAAACTCATAGTGCGACTAAAACACAAGCAGTGATTCATGCTTCTGAAACAACTTGTCTGACGCTGGATTGTAAACAATGAAAATATAACAAACATGTTTGCAGCTCCCTGTATTACCCAGTAAGCTAGTTTATAAATTTTAAATTTTAAATAAACTTCTTAGAACCGAAAGAGACATGCTGTTGTAACTCTGAACTACAGAAGCCTAAGGAGTCAAAAAAAAAAAAAAACACTTCAAAAACGAGATCTTCATAAAAAACAAACTGGATTATTTGATCAAATCATGCAGCCCGATAATCAATCACTTGTAGGTTATAAATTCTATTTTCTCCTGCTGAATTCGAAATCTTCCTTCCCCTTTTTTCTATGTAAACCTGTGAATGAAGGTAATCCCACAGTAGCATGCAACCATCACCTTGTTTTAGGTTAGTTTTCTGCCTGCTTTCATTTTGCATACTGAATGAAAAAAAAAATATCTTCCTTTTGAACTGATCCAAGCAGGAAATCTTCTTCCATGTGTTTGCAAATTGCAAATCTCTCAAAGCTAAACTCTTTTCCATCTTCCATAAAGAGCAGATTTTAGGAGCCATCAGCTGATAGCTATCGACAGATTCTGGCAGAATGAAGTAAACAAGTCTCTAAGAAAATACCAACAGTCTCCATTTTCCCTTTTCTTCAAAATAATGTGTTACATTGTGTTGGACTTTCATCTACAAGCTCTTCAAAACACATCAGGTTTGTTTTTGTAATGTGTCTAAATGAGGAAAAAACGGGCTAAAATTATACAGTCCGTTTCACTTTTTGTGCATTTTTCTTTTTATCTGCGTTTTGTTATCTATCTGCTTTTTAGGAAAGTCTGTTTTGGATAAAGGCAAATTCCACAGGTAATAAAAAAGAAAAAGACGTGGCTGAATAAAATTATTTCAGGGACTTTATCATGCTCGGTGTGAGCAAGGTAGTGCGTCAAAATGCAGGAGAGAGAGAGCAGGTGCTCCATGAGAAACCCTCATAAAAACAAAGCCAGTCCCTACTTCCTGTCTGGCTCTGCACCAGCAGATCAACACACACACACACACACACACACACACACTTTCTGGTGTCTCTGAGGAGGGTGGGTGGGGCACACCACAGTGGCCCACCTGAATAAACAGCGGCAGAAATGATTAAGGATGAGCACACAGATCCTCACAGGGGACAGAGGCACAGACAGTGGCTACAGTGAGCAAACGCAGCACAGAAAAGAGGGAAAAAAGAAAGGGTGTGGGAGGAGCAGGGGGGAGATGAAGGGGTGAGGTGGGGTCAACAGCTGGTGACCTCTTGCTGGGAAAAAGAGATTGGTCTCAAACTCTGAGCTCTCTCTTGGTTCCCAGCTGTGTGATGGGGACAGATGAAGCCTGCGCACCGAACGCGTTTGAAGTCCTCCGCGGTACAATAGGCGTGTTTACAGAAACCGATTCTCATCCGGCCGCTGACATCTCTGGTAAAGAGGTCTCTCCTTCTCTATAATGTCTGAGGATTTTATTCGCAGTAAATTCAATGACCTGTCCCACTTTTTAAAGCGAGGGACCCCGTTACACCACAGCTGTCACCTTAAATGTCGGCTGTTTGGACGACTACAGAAAAAAAAAGGAGTGTTATTTAAAACCCTGATCATCCTGGGGGCCGATTTCTATCCCACGCTGATCAGGCACTGATCATCACTTTGAAACACACTTTTTAAAAACTTCTCTCTCGTTTTTTTCTTTCTTTGCCACCCTGCTGTCACATTCTGGGCCTCTGCAGGGCTTCAACAGGCCTGCCAAATGCATTGTTGGAACTGTGGGAGCCTGGCCTCTGCTGTTTAGACGGCGCAGACTTAGTTCCTCAATCAAGTCAATGTGTTGGTCGTTTTCTGGATCTGTGTTCAGACTGGCAATGGGATGTTTACCAGTTTCAGGGCTCTACAATGCTACGGCTTCAAAAGCAGCTAAATTTGACAACATTTCTAAGGTTCAAGTCCTTTGAACAACATGTCGCCTTTATGAATCTGACTAATGCAAAGTTGCCCCATCTCCAATCTGTTGGTGCAAACCGCCAGTCAGCAGGATAAAAGAGTGCTTATGGAGCTATTATCACACAAGAAAAGCATAAAAACTAGAAAGTTTTGGTAAATGGGCCAAAGACAGGAGTAGTTAAGCATTAAATGCTTCCCTGTTAAAAGGAAGGCTGGAGAAAAAAAAGTGAAACGGTCAGTTTTCCTTTCCTGAAGTGGGTTGCATGACAAAGGCTCCAGTGAACATCCCATCGTTCCAAACAGACAGGCTGTGAGCCTCGGCAGACGTCAGCATCCATATATGTGCGGCTCCCAGTCTTTTGGAGCGGTTACCATTTGATGAATTTGTCTGAAGACAGGATTTTTCTGTCATTTTTGTCGCATGTGTGTCAACCGCCGTCTCACACAGACTTGCAGTCAGACGGCATTCCAGACAGCTTCAGCCGGTGGCAAAGACGCTGCCAGCTCACAAACACACCCTCACCCCCGCCGGTTTATATAGCTCCAAACTAGTTTGCACTGGATTCAGGTTTAGAAAATATGGCTGACCCTGGTTTCGCTCCCCACTGCCTTTTTCTCCTCCATTCATTTGGCTCCCTGTACCCTCCCACAGACTACCTCAGCGCTTCCCCTAATCTCGCCTCTTTCGACACGTTATGATGTCACTCTGATCTGACACTGTTCAAATCCCTCATCCCTCGCTCCCACCACGTTTTCTCATCCTTTCCTCCCCTGCGCCGTGTTACCCGTTTTACTGAAAGCCATGTGACTGACAGCTGCAGCTGCAAGTGCTTCAGCGGGCCCTCGCTCTGGCCGGCTGCGTAGCTTTGTAAAAATCTGACCCTCCCTCCAGCCTCCACTCCCATCAGGACAGCAGCCCTTCCTCCCCAGCAACAGGCTTCAAGTCAGGGCCAAAAAAAGACAGCCCGGCTCATTTGGATGAGCCTCCACTTTCCAGTCAGTGGGGAAGTAAAGGTGAACTTGCTCCAATCTGTTTTGGATCAGGAGGGGGGGGGGGGGGAAGGACTCACAGAAAATTAAACAACATGCACCAACATCTACCTAAAACTGAAACAGGGGATAGAGAGGAAACTCATTTTTTGGTAGTATAACAGTCAGTGTTGCCTAATCAAACTCCCTTCCTTCCTATAAACCATGTACAGCTCACAGAAATATTCTGACCACATCGGTGCATCACGATGAATTCTGAGAAGCAGGCGGATGACACACAAGGGAGAGGCGAGTGTGTGACTCCCACAAAAGCTCGCCGCCGAAAAATGATACGCCAATGAGCAAACATGACACGACGCAGCAGCTGTGCGCTTCACTAGCGAGCGGGCGGCCGCTGTGAAAGAAGCTAAACGGGAAAGCTAACGGCTACCGCTGAATGAGCTCCAGTTCATTTTCTACTGTGAGGGAAGGGAACATGCTAATGTGTGGAACTCAATATAATATTTCTTTGTGGCTGGGCAGATTTTTGTGGACAGTTTCTGATCTCCTCTTATGTCGATCCTACGTTTTATCTGATTCTACAGCAACAAGAGAAATTAAACACCTATTCCATCACATCCATCATTAGCTAATTATCTAAACTAAAAAAGGCAAATTTTAAAGATTTTACATCTGAGCTTAGCATAGTTAGCATTATTAGCAATAAACAGTGTGTATTCCCAGCTTGTTTATTATTAGAGGATATTGGAAAACGATTTAGAAACAAATAAAAATGTCTTTTTTCTTTAAATATGGTTTGCAACACCTCACCAAAATTGGCTCACTTTTAATCTTCTTCTCTCAGTTACTTGGCTTTAGGTACAATTTGAACCATCTGATTTTTAAGGTGTTATCCAGCTGGTATCCGGTTTGATCCAGTTATGCAGTAAATCAGCCAATATTAATCACAATCGCATTTTTTATAACTTGCTCACAAAAACATGAAATCTGTGAGCAGTTTCCTCTCTCTTCACTTGTTGTTACCTGACCACATCACATGAGTGTTTCGACTAAGCTGGAGGGGAGAAAAAAATAAATTGTCAAGCTGCTGATAGACTGCTGAGCTCACATTTGTGACACACACAAGCGCAAACACGCCCTTCCCAAATACGGCAGTAAATCTCCAGTGAGATGCCAGCGCAGGCAGTCCCCAACAGGCACGGTTTCACAACCGAGAGCAACAGAGTTGAATCCATATACGAGCTGACACTCCAAACAGGCAGCGGCAGCTCGCTGTGGACAGGACCACATAGCCGGCTAATAAGAGCCGTCGCTTGCTTAACCGTGTGCTAATCTCTCAAGACAGGACTCCTTATTGACGGCAACAGGGCTCAAAAGAGAAATGGGTTTTTGATCCTCTTTGGTGCAGCCGGGTTACATTAATAATAACCTTCATGTTAAATGGATGTGACGTCTGAGATCCGGAGGAATCTCTAGACTAATGGCTTATGAATACAGTGGAAGAAAATATTTTCCTGGTAGCATTTCAAGCAGAAATCAGGGCAGTACTCACAGGTAGAGGGATGTTATTTTGGAAGCAGCCTGTCCTAAATCTGGTATGGACGTGAGCTCATTGTGATCCAAGTGCCTGAAAGGAACAAAGCACAGGTCAGAGAAAATAAAAGTCCCTGAAAACAAAAAAAAAACAAAAAAACAGCAAAGACTTTTAATGTTTTATACATTAAAGACAGAAATAAGATCCAAAGTTAGTAAGATTTGTTACAAGAAAAGATATAAAAGATCCTAAAACACATTTTTTTCAAGACATCACTAAGTTTTGAACCTTTGTGAGTTTGCTAAATTCGATCTGGACATAAATCAAAGGATTTCAAACAGTACTTGTCACGTCTGCCGCAGAGCAAGCGGCAGGTCATCCTTGTAAAAACCAAAAATAACACGGGAGTAAAACAGATGTCCAGGAGCGTATGACTGGTGGGTCAGCCTGCCAGAGATGTCACCAGTGCGTGTATTATCGGCCGGCCCGCACCCGTGTGTGTTTGTGCCGCGCACTGGTGCTGAGTGACACAAAGCCAAGCCCCTCTCCTCACCGTATAAAATATTTACAAGGCCAGTGCTGGCCACAGTATCGGATGGTGGAGGGGAAGGCTTAATATAGAAAACCACCACTTAATTCTTAATTGGACTTAGTTCAAGGCAACACAGAAGGATGCTGCCGAGAATCACACCGACATTGTTCTGCTTCAAGTCATTTACTTCCCACGCCTTCAACGTTTTCACACTTGGACGTGCTACCACCGCATACCTCATAGTATTTTACAAGGTTATGTTATATTACATAAAGCAGTATATAATCAAGAGGGAGAAAGTTTTAGAAAACAGGAATAAAGAATGTTGTGTTTAAAGAGGTCTTGAAAAAAGGTGAAATAAAACCAACTAAACAAATTTGGTGTTTAAAGGAGAGAAGCAAAAAAAAAGGAGTTTCCAGTTTGTCTGCAAGAAATCCAGGGAGGTTTTTTATTCGGCAAGGAGAAGGTGTGAGTTGATAGAAACCTCCACATAGCATGCAGTGGGTGCTGAGTACCTCTTCAAAAGCAACGCTATGCCAAGTTCTCTGTCATGATACTAGAGCGAGAAAATATTAGATTTAAAAAGCTCTAAAACTGAGATGCATTTCCATTTTATTTCTGTTTTTTTTGCTTTTATGTTTTGAAAAGACCGCTACACCTAACCCTTGTGAAGACGCCACCCCAATGGCGAAACACAGTGGTGGCAGAATCAAGCTGTGGGGTGGCTATTTTTAAGCTTTTCCAATTATTATTTGCTAGAAATGTTTCCCATATACTCTGATCTATAGATTTAGTAAAGTTGAAAATACCCAGAAAGTCAAGGGGTAAAAATATTATCAAGGCACTTTATTACTGGAATTAATTCAGATTTATAAAGTTGAATACTTACAGTTCACGCAGGTTAGGAAGATTAGCAAAGGCTTCGGTGCTGATGGAGGCCAGCTTATTGTTTCCCAGATTTCTAAAACAGGAAAAAAGCAAAACATTTACTTGCGGTATTAAATATGTAATTTGAATCCTTTTGTTGTTTTTTTTCGGGTGTATGACAAGTTGCAGCAATTACAATTACATTTCCAGTTTGACAAACCAGCCTGATCCGTCCACACTTCTGAAAACACTACAGTTCATAAATCCAGTCGGCCTTCGAGGGACGACTCCGGATCAATACTGTCGATACGGAGCGCCTCTCTCCTGGCTCACTTTCCAAACATGACCCACAGCCCATCCATCTGCTGCAGTCAATTTGCACTTTAGGCTAACGGCGTATTCAATAGCTGGCAATTCACTTGTAAGAGAGGCTTATTAGAAAGCGATTTGTCTGTCGGTGCAGCGATACTGCTGTCAAACAGGTGAAAAGGCAGGCAGACGACGGTCACCGCTTATGAAGCTCTCATCTAATGAGATTTTTCTTGACGTAATAAACTAAATTAAAACGAGGCAGGAATCACCAGTAATGCAGGCTGCGTTGGCAGAGAGCAGCAAAGGGGAAGGTTATTCTAGGTGAGACAAAGGGAACCCATAGCCCCGCGTCACTTCCCACCCCCCCTACCATACAGACATGACAGACGGCCTGCAGAGGCTGGGGACAATTTTACCTGATGCGACACATTCCTGGAACTCTAGTCTCCGAGTGGCCTTAACGACCGCGGCAGGAGGAGGAAAAGGAGAAGAAGCCGTTACTTCACGCCATGCATTTAAGAAAGTAAGAAGAGATATTAAGGAAGCTAATGTGTTTCAGGCTGGGTTAATAGCATGGTGCACTGTTTTTCTTAAAAAAAAAAAAAACAATCCATCTCAATCACAGTCTAACTTGACGGATTTCCCTTTCTTGTCTTCTGTGCTCAATTGCAGATAATGACAGCTTCTTTGGCCAATTTTTTTTCCCCGACTTAGGTGTGTGAGACGAGATAATTGCAGAGCATGTGTCTGCCTTGGAGGCATAGTGTGCATACGCACACCCCCCTACTGACAATGGTGTGCTGGGAGACCTCCCTTTCTGGGCTGTTTGGCTGAATTGTTGAACCCATACAACCGGGTGCCATTAGAGCAGAGCTTAGGAATCACTGTTCACACAAGTGGCCTCTGCCTGGAGGTTGGTATAATCAACCACCACATAAACACACTAACGGGGTAAACTATGGAGAGTGATTCATGTGCTCCAAGAGCAGACAAAAAAGCCTTTCTTGACCTGATTTTTGGCAGTGAAAACATATCAGTCTTTGGGTTGAGAGAAAACATCCAATGATTGAAGTCTGGACTAAAAAAGAAAGCGCATGGCAAACATAGAAGTGACTCACCAAAACAGAAAGGGGAATCCAGTTTGAGCGCTAAACCTGCCATACGGGTGCTAAAGGCCACGGCAACAAACAAACAAAACTGTCTTTTGTACCGGTACACAGGCATGTGTGTGCCTTTCTCTCAGCCACCTGTGTGTTTACACAACTCACTCTTGTTCCCTCCACTTATTCCAGACAGATTTATTCTCTTACTTATCATATCAGATAAGTTTCACAGTGCTTTAACACCTTCTGTGGCAGGAGATGGTGATAAGACTGCCTTTCCTGCCTCGACGACTTCACCCCCCTGCCTCCTCCCTCTCAAGGAAAAACAGAGAGGGCGGTTAATGCTTTCCAGAAAGTGACCTTAAACCCTTAAAGGCCATTTCTGGGGGAACTGGCTGTGACGGAATCAGAAAGACGAACATTTAAACGGTAACAGAAAAACTAAATGTGAGGGGGGAATAAGAGCTAAATCCTGCTTTTAGATTCTAGATTTTAAAAAAGCATTAAAATTTTGTGGCAACGCACGTTTATATTAAACACTATTGAAATTAAAAACATCCTTAACCTGAAACTGTTTCCACTGCTTTAACCATTTTTGTACAGCTCACAGGTAAAAACTGTTATTTCTTCCAATTGTTTTTGAACATGCTGTTGCAATCAGTCAGCAAAAGGTCAAAAATCCCCCAGCAGAACTCCAGAAATGTGATGTAAGAAGACCAAGTGAGGGAATAAGTGATGATCCGCGATACAGAGGGCTATTTCCAATCTCTCTGTCTAAAGCACCAAACACACAGGATCCTATTTTGCGTTCGATCATATCGGACGAGGTCGTGGGGTTTAGCACTAATTGAGATTCAATGGGGACGATCACACCCGACACGATTTTACACAATCTCTGACTGAGATGAACCCCAGGTTTATTTTAGTCAGACTACGCAGCAATTCAGCTGCAATTTCATGGGTCTGACAGGAAGAGAGGAAATATTACAAAATAAAACATCTGCTTTGGTGAAATACAAAATAAGATCTGTTAATCGCACGGGGAAACAGTCTGATTTGGAGTTGAACAGCACGCATACAGCAGGAGGGACAGACTCATGCATAAATAATCAGTGAAATATTTTCTTAGAATAATTTCTATGATGAGTTCAGGATGACAGAAAACAGAAAGTAGTGACCCTCTTTGGCCCTCGCAAGAAACAAAACATGGGGCAGACGGAGCAGATTAATGCAGCTTATCACTCTCCCCTCTTTATGACAATAAAGAAAAACAACAACTCAGACAAATAGGGCTTTGCTTTATAGCCACGCAGGTTGTTTTAATTTTTTTTGAGTAATTTATTTATTTTTAAGAAGTTTTCATAATCTGCCCTAGTCAAATGCGGGAACTTTGTGTGGCACAGAGACAGAAGTGCAAAAACATCTTCACAGATCTGTTCACCCTGCCTCATCGGAGCCTCTCTATACAAAGTGTGACATCCTTTGTTTGGGGATGCCCAGGTGTTCCCACACCAGAGAGAAGATATAATCCGTCTAGTGGGTTCAGGCTTTGGCCCAGATTCTGCTCACAGTAGATCATGCCCAGAAAGCATCAACGGTGCAATGACTTCCTTGCTAGCTCCCCACAAATCCCCATCTCTAAGGTTGAGTGCAGAACCCCTACAGATTACAACATGCAGAATTTTAATCCGCCAACCCATTTACTGCTCCCTCCTACAATCAACGATGCAAACGTCACCTTTAAACACGCACAGGATGCACACTGAAAACATGTGTCAACTATTTCTCCATTTTAACCATTAACTGGTTTACCCGCAGGAGAGATTTAACAATAGGGTTTTTTTTTTTAACATCAATACTGATTATTGTTTTGAAACCAGCCTAACCAATCCCCAACGTGTGCTGCCTATTTTGGGGGCCAAATTTTGAAACCAATATTGCTTTTTTGTTGTTTTTTTTACATGATAAAAATGACACTGATAACAAATTTTAATACATTCTCAAATTGAAGTACGTATTACCCCCCCCAAAAACTGTCCACAATCAATCAAAACTATCAGCCAGCCAATGTATTAGTCTAAGCAACGGGGCTAATATTTGGTTGCCGCCATTGTGAGTAGTTTGGTAGAGAATAGGAGAGAAGATTATCCATCATGCTGCCAAACTGGGTTGCCTTAAACCTAGCCACCTTAAGGAGGAATCTAATTCCTGCCATTTGTATCAGAGCTCTTGTTCTTTTGATCACAATCAATATCTTATTACCACAGCTGAGGGGATCCTAAGCTGGAATGGAAAATCAAGAGCTTTGCTAGTTGGCTCAACTTTTTCCTTCATCTTAACCTCTTTACTGCAGAAGAGGCAACTGTTCATTCTCCTTCTCCGACCTCCCATCGGGAATCCCAATCCCAACCAACTTGAAACAAATGTGAACAAAAGACAAAAATAAGGTTGCCGTACTGTTTGTGGGAGACGTGGGGAATTAAGGACTTGCAAAAAATAGGAATACGTCGCCATTATCTTTTCCATTTCTTCAGTGGATAAACAGGGAGTGAACTTTGCTCACTGAAAGTGTGAAGTGATGTCAGCGATGAGCTGTCTAGAGCAGAAAAGGCCCATTTCAGAGGCCCATAAAGCTGGTCAAAGAATAACCTGCGATTCAGAAAGCCAGACGCAAACTAACGCACCGCTCTTCCTGTCATTAAAGGGACGCTTTATGGCTCTGAAACTGCAGTGAGAGTGTACACAAAGCTAACACCAGCTCCGGGCCACCAATTTACACACAAGTCGAGCAGGGAGGGAGAAAAAGAGGACAGTCTCTTATCAGCTTCGACGAGCATATGCCATCCGGCAACATTCGCTATAATAAAGATAAATCTGATGAGCTAAATTTTTCCCAAAACACTAATAAATATAAAATCCTAGAGGGGCAAGAAGAGGGCATATTTAACCAACACATTCCCGCCATTCCCTGTACACTAAACAAAGCTGCAGACAGACGCTTTGAAATCAGTCGGGCTAGAAGGGTAGGCTCCTTTTCTGAAGGTGGCCCACATCTTGGAGCCACGTGTTCTCCCAGATGCTGCATGGTGGGAATGGGGGAGCACAAGAATCACTCCAAACAAACAGGCACGATAAAGGAGAAGCTGTGCACTACCCCCGGGGTGCCGCGTGAACCCGTGGCTAGGCCCACCAAGCCCAGCTTGGACGTTAAAGAGCTCCAACAACATCAGGTCGTCCGCACTGCACGCTAGCGAGCCCAGAGGCAAACACAGGCTCATGCTCCCGCATTAAAACCCAGGTTCAGATCAGATGACGATGTAATTTGTTACAAATGGCGCCAGACATTATAAGCAGAGGGAAATGAGTGTCTCCAATTAATCTGAAAGAATAACATAAACACGAGATGTCTCTTTAGCTGGGCTATTCGTACAGCACTACAGCAAGGCTGACCTTATGCTCCAATCTTCAAAGTGAGGAAAAAGATTGCTTTGTCCAATTTTTTCCCCCATGGTGTCGTTTGTTTTACTTACAGAACAATAATTGTCAGTGATGGTAATTATTTCAATTGGAGATGTCTAGACACTGAGGTTTTACTGCTCTATGGAAAAAAAGAAAAAAAAAAAAGAAACAGAAACAGGACTCGTATGAATCTTCTAAATTCAAACATAGCTACTTCCCC